AAAATTGTCTAATGAATGCAGAGGAATTGAGTTCCTGCAGATATGGGAGCTGATGGAATTTACCATAGTGCAGGGGCATATGTAGAAAATACAGATTATTTCTATTCAGGTAGGTACACAACTGCTTCTGTTTTGCTTGCCTTTAAAATACTCAGGACATTGTGGAGTAGGCGTAACAGCATAAAGATCATACTGCTAACCATCATTATCTTAACCTCCTGTAACAGTCTAGCTGTGCTGAAACCATAGACAGAACACAGTAAACTTTCCTGCAGACAACCAATGGTTGACCACGTTGCTATAGTTAGTCTTCCTTTTCACTGAGAGTACTGTCTCATACATTTTGCTAACTTGTCTAAACTTGGGTACAGTATTGATTTCTCCCTCTGTGAGCTTGCACCCATTCAATGGGCAGCGAAATCTCTGTTCCTGGCTGAATTCCCTCCCAAGCATGACCCAGGTATGACTCCTGACAGTGGTCCTATGGCTGGGAGTTGATTGTTAGCTAGAAGGAAACAAACCACTGGAGACAGAACGGAAATTCTATGTTAAAGTGAGGAACATGCCAGGGAAAGTGGCCTGTGAGGTTAAGTGAGAGAAAGCAGGCTAGGGAGGCATGTATGTTATAGTTTTATTTTAGTCAAACAGAGAAAATCCCACTACATAACTATATATGTCTACATATTTACAGCAACAAAATCTAGAAGGATATCCAGTGTAAAAGAATAGTAGTTATTTTGGGGTAGGGGTAGGTAGGACTTTATTCTTTGTCATCTGCATTCTTGGAACTTTTTCACAATGGGCATGAATTTTATAACTGGAAAAATATCAAGCTATTTTAACAAGAAAAAGAAGGCAGTAAAACACAACAACTTGATGGCCCGACCTAAGGAATAGAAACTCTTTGCTTTCCAAAGAGGGAGACTTTTCAAGTACCTCCAGGAGTTCTTGAAAGAGCTGCTTTTCTGTTTATTAAGCATATAAAATATGTGACACTGAAATTTATTTTTTCTAAAAAAGGATAAGGTTCATAATGCCAAGATTATAGCTAATTGTTAAGAGTGATGAAAAGCTACAGAACTACAAAAGCAAACTGAGCCATCCAAACCTCATGTTCCAGAGCTTCTTCCCAGCCGCCCCCCACCCCAAACCCCACAGGAGCAGAGGAAAGGCTGTGGAAAGGACAGAGCAAGCCCTTCAGGAATGCTCGGATGAAGCCTTAAAGAGGCACCCTAGAACTTTTTAAAGTAGGCACTTGTTTATTACTCTTTTGCCTGCCTTAAAATTTCTCTAAAAGAAATATATTTATTAAACTATTAATGAATGTGCATACATATAAAATATTTATTTGGGTTTGCTGTCCCATCAACAGATTTTTTTTTTTTCTCATTATCTTGAGACTACTTCGAGACAAGACAATCACAGGACTGGCAGTTCAAAGAAATAGAATTCCTATTATGGCACAGGATCACTGCCTCTTAGGCTGGTTTAGTCACTTATTTCCTTTTTATTATAATGCCAAATGTTATTTAGATTTCAGTCACTTAGTAATGCTACACTGAACACATCAGGGCTCCTGAAAAATTCCATACCTACTAGTCCCTTCATTTTCATAATCACCACATATTGATATCCATTTTCCTACCAAATTACACTACTATTTAAGCAAGAATCAGTGTTTTATCAGAGTTGAAAAGATTATGATGTAGTGAACAACAGTCTTCAAAAATGTTCTTTGGTGTTATTAAGAATTAGAAAATCTTGTTAAAATTCTTTCAGCTTTTAAGAAACATAAGCAGCTTTGGGATGTAGTGCCTGACATGGACTTTTAAAGTAATTCCCCTGGAGCAATGATCTGTGCTAGTGAAGATATTTAGTTAAAGGTAGCATCCTACACTGCCTTTCAGTATTTGAGCAGTCTATCTAATTGCCTTTTTAAGCCAAAGATTGCAAATAACCAACACTAGAGAATTTGAAAGCAAAGCCAGTTTAACATTCTCTAATGGTGAGAAATACACTCTTCAGCAAGGAAGAGGCAGTTTTTATGCAACTGTTGCTAACAAGCCCAAGTTGTTAAGGACTGTGCAAAGCAGGGTTTTCCATTATATCAGTTAGGGTGGCTGGGGATGGGGAGGGGAAGAAACCCGGGTAAATTTTCAGTCACACTTTAAGGATAAATGACAGAGTCACTTGAAAGGAGTTAGTTATTTTTCCCATACCAGAATTAAAGGCTGCTAAGTGAGGCTGAAGCACATCCTAGTGCTTCAGCAGGCATGGGGTTTATCAGAGTTTTCGTATTTAATCTTAAACCGTTTTTTTCCCCCCATTTATTTTTATTAGTTGGAAGCTAATAACTTTACAATATTGTAGTGGTTTTTGCCATGCATTGACATGAATCAGCCATGGATTTACATGTGTTCCCCATCCCGGTCCCCCCTCCCGCCTCCCTCCCCATCCCATCCCTCTGGGTCTTCCCAGTGCACCAGCCCCAAGCACTTGTCCCATGCATCCCACCTGGGCTGGTGATCTGTTTAAACTGGTTTGATTTGACTCTAGTTTTGGGTTTCCTAGTAGAATTGGTTTCTAGGCTGTGGATTTTTTTTTTCCTTCTCTTTTAAGGGACAAGTCACCCTTAACATGTGTTTAGGGAAGATATCAAATTCAACATGAATCAACAGTGGGGTCTGGCTGCCAATCGGACCTACTTCACACCCTGGGCTGAATAACAGGAGCAGAGGAGCCTAACCTGAGAAAGGGGATGGTCCCTCTGCTTTGTACTGGTCACAATGCATCTGGAGGCTGAACTCAGCTCTCAGAGCCCTGTTTTTAGAGGGCCACCAGCTAATGGAAGCATAGCCAGGTGAGGGTCTTAGCAACATGCCATTAAATAATGCTTGCAGAATGAGGGCAGTTTGACTTGAAAAGGAGTAGGAAGGAGGGAGGAAGAATTTGGTGAACCTAACTTCATGTATCTGAGAGGCTGTGAAGGGGAGGAAGGTGTCAATCTGAAATGTCCCATAGAGCAGACCTGGGATGGGTGGGGGCAGGGTAGGAGAATTGCAGCAAAGTAGACTGGCTCCATATTAGGAATACCTTTCTATCAGAGCTGCTCACCAGTGGAGTGGGAAGCTTGTATGTTCTATAGATTCCTGTTATGAATGAGTTTCAGCAGAGGTTAGAAGAGCATCTGTTGGTTTTGCTGGAAACGATGGTTGCATAAGTTGGAGGTTGGATTAAAGGACTGTTGAAGACTCTTGTTAACTTGAGGTTTTGTGATTCAGGGAAATGAAGCTCACTTTTTCAAGGTCTTTGTTCATATTAAGGTTTATAAACTTGATTTCTTACATACTGAGTGTTTTAAGTGTCATGATCAACCCTGGTTTCCCAGCACAACTCCAGAATGAAGTAGAAAACTATTTTCATGTATTGCTTCTCAAGTATAGCCAGATATGAACATTCTAATGACTAAAAAGAAGGCCCAGTGATCTCACTGACGTTGTCTAAACAGTGAAGTCAGTGAGCTATGGTACAAGAGTATATGACTCCCCTGACCTCTGGAACAAAATTATTTTTATCTTTAAATGGTAAAGAGTATACTTAAATACTCTTTTCTCATGGATGGACTCACTGGAGAAGGAATGATCCCCACCCAAAAGCTAGAAAATAATGCCCTAGAAGCTTCAGTTAACTTAAATGGGGAAACATACATTGATTCTAGAAGGAATTAAAATATTTCTCAAAGAGGTAAACATATATTTTCCCTTCTGTGTGAGCAAACATGCTGTGATTATTTCTAAGCAGATCAAATTATTTTCTTGGAAGTGTGCAGAGTTATTTTAAGGTTAATCCAAAGGTAGGTTTTTTTTTTCTTTTTTCCCTTTTCTCTTTCACAAAATGCTTTTGTTTTGTGAATCTGTTTTAAAACAACATATCAAGTAGAGTACAAACATCTTTAGAGGGCAAAAATAATTTCCCAAGTAAGCAAATAAAACTTTGCACTTCAAATCAGGCCTTGATTCATTAAAAATCTTAAACTTCTCATGAGAAAAATTAACATTTAAACCACTGCTGCTTGGCCAAGCACTCCACCACACAAGAATATGAAATATCTCCTCTAAAAAAGTACAAAAAGGACAAAACCACAAATGTGGAACTTCAATTAATTTAAAGCCCCAATCAGCAAAGAATAAATCCTTCGCAGATCTAATTACCAGCGCTCTCGGAAGACCCAGGCCGACCAGCCAATCTTCCCCGTGTTTGAACAGCTTGATGAACTAGGGGACTGATGGATATCAAGTCATTTTGTTTAATTTATAAATGGATTTTCCCCTAATACTTAAATTATCATCAGTACAACACAATGAAAATGGGAACATTCTGAATGCAAAGTCTATAAGAGTCCTGGAAGGAATCCCAATGAGGAATGTCACCTCTGTTCATTCCTCTATACAATTGATCTAATTAAATACTGAGGGTGGAAAGGCAGTTTAAAATGTAGCCATTTCTGTTTTCTTTTTAGCCTTAATTTATCTGTTCACATCTTTCAAGTACCTTCTGATGCTTAGAAAAAAAAAAAGCAAGTGAGATTTCTGCAAGCCCCTAATACCTTTAATTCTCCACAAGCTAATATTCAAAAGTCTTTGCCATCGATTTTGCTGAATAATAAATAAATGCATTACATTTAGCCATGGTAACAATGAAAGGCAGAGGGCTTTCCAAATCTGAACCTTTTCCCTCCATTAATTTGAAAGAGAATCTAAAGGAACTGGTACCTTCTGTGCATTTTGTTCACCTGAAATTAGATCTCTGGATTATACTTATTAAAATGTCTTCTTATTTTCAAATCTCTTCCTTACTTAATTACCACCCAGGACAGAAAGCTGCATGGAATTGTTAAATACCATTAGACCTATTTGTAGTCTCTTCACACTGGCAACTTGAGTGCAATCATTGGCAAAGGTCCTGCCCACCAACCCACATGTTGGGATTGCAAGTCCCACCTGGCTCGGGGGTCTCCGACTGGGAGGAAGAAGATGCTGAGCTGGCTCCATCTTCAGTGGTACCCTGTGAGAGGAGACCCCGCCCAGGCGGGAGCTTCATGCCCAGCTGCTCTGCCATCTCCACGTGGTCCCCGGGGTGGACATAGTCAAAGACGCTGCTGCCTGTCAGCTCCACCTGGAGGGGAAAGGGAAGAGTGAAGAAACTTGTCACAGGCTTTTCATTTTCAAATCCAGCCCCCGCTGCGATTCAGCTTCTGAGCAGGAAAGGAAATCTATGAAGCCTCCAGAAACAATTCTTGTCCTGAGTCTTTACCCTCAGATGCTTAAGGATTCTTGAAATTGAAAGTTGTTTTTTTTTTTTTACCCCCACACATATTTATTTAGCATGTTTAGTCCAGTTTTTTCTCATACACTGTTGTTTGCATAAAGCCAAAACATTCTGTGAAATGAGGATAAGTCTGCCTGAGTTCAGCTGTTTTACTCACGTACCACTAAATACTTGCATGTTTGGTGTCAACCGGATGATTGACTGAATTCCACTGTTTTCTTATTGAAAAGTTTGAGCTTGGTATAGAAACAGCCAGAGATAGCCAAAGAGGATTTTCCTTAAAAGACACAGAGTTCCAGGATGCATATTTATACACATCGGCTTATTTCTATGTAAATTTAAATGGAAGAAGTGCTGCTTACAAATATATGCAAAGGCCTAATGTTTTCATTAAATATTACTCATTAGCTCTGTAATCATATGGAGAATTTTCCATGCAAAAGAGGTCAGCTGGGGTCTGAAGCAGCAATTTTTTTCTTTTCCTGCTGGTATCAGCATGTTTTGCCTTCAATCTAATAAAATACATGGTACAAATCTCCTTGAGGGCTTTAAAGAAAAAGTTTTATTTTGTATAAACCTCTTTGTGGGAGGTTGACATGAGAGGTAGAGAATGAATATCAAAGATTGGAAGAGGGCCAGCCTGCAATGGAAGCACACTGCCTATTGCAGTGCTGTCTGGGGCATGTGCTGTCTGAGTGGGGCGGAAGTCGCTGGTAAGGACTGGCCTTACCTCTGTACTCTTCTGATGCTATCGCTCTTACTTCTTTCCAAGAATAGCAATAATGGCCCTAAAATAATGTAGTTGGGTTATAGGTAGTGTGACAGCGAGAGATGTGTTAGCAGAACAAGAAAAAGCTCTTTCCTGGGTCACTAATGGCTTTCCCATTCCTCTGGAGTTTAATGGTCTCAGGCCAGCTATGATGCGCCACAGAAACTGCCAGAAGTTCAGACCGTCGCTAGTTTCTTGGTGGATGTTTACTTAGACTGCTTCCTACTTCACCCACCTTTCCTGGATCATTTGCAGCATCCTTCCAAATTCCCCCTGAGTGCCTGCCCTCTTTTTCCTGCCAAAAAGGAAGACTGTGCTGGTGGTGGGCATACTGTCACAGAGAGCGGAATGCTCAGAGCAGTTATCACCCCCAGAACTCCAAGCCCCGGTAAAATGATCACATCGAACTCCTGGACACCATCTGATTAAAACCTTAACAGTCGACACATCTTCAACATCTATCAATTAACAGAAGTAGAGCCAGAAAAATGGGAGGCTAAATTCAGTTTGGTTAATAGCTATTCCTGAAACAGGCATGCATAACTTTTACCGAAAATGAGGTACTTTCTCTTTGCTATTAAATTACACTCTCCTATATTACCCAACTCCTAACTCTATCATTTTACAGTAACGATTCCCTCCATTTTGATATTGTTACAGAGCATAAATCAGGATTCATAAGTGAGCGGTTCCTACCCTCTGGGAGGGAGGGATTACATGGAAATAATCCCTTTAATGTGCGCCTTGCCTCTAAGCATTTCACACAGCAATAAATGGGTAAACTGACTTTGAGCAATTAAGAAATTAAATGAAACTAATAAAATGTGTGCTTTAATATTTCTTGATGGTGATTTTGTTTGGGGATTAGTGAGTTCGAGGAAGTTGCTCTCATTTTGCGTGGAGTCCGATTGCCGCGCTTTAATAACTATTTCTGTCACTTTTCTCAAACTCTGATTCCTTCTTTAATACCGCAACGTGCCTTTTGGCATAGACCAGATTGTGATAAGATGACAACACAGGTGGGAGATGTAATCGATTTTTTTTTTAGGGGTGTGGGTCTTGAATATTCATGGGGGCCGGTCATGTGAGGAAGCACAGCCCGCTGTCTCCACAGCCTGCTTTACTTAGACGTGTAGTTGCTTTCTTTCCACAACATGATGTCCCAAGCATAGCACATCCAGAGCCAGACTGAGTCACAATGGGCAGTGTTCTGTTATGACCCAGGGAAGACTCTCCTTCAGTCTCTTGAGGACTGTGACAGGGTCATATTCTCAGTACCAGCCCCTCCATCCTATATTATGCTTTGGGGTATCTTGGAAGAGAAGTCTGACCCTGTCATAGTCTTCATGAATGTACAGTGATAAAGGCCATGGAGTGTAGGGGAAAGCATAAAACAGCTGGAGTTATAGACTGACTTGGAGATCAGAATCTTCTCCTCCTCTGCTGTGTGACCTCAGACAACTCACTTAACCTCTCTGAGCTTCAGTTTCCTATACTGCATGGGGCAGTCTTGCTGCTCTGCAGGACTCTGGGGAAGCAGAAGTGCCACTCACATTGTATTCCACACGGGTGGCACCCCATTCCACCACACTGTGGAATGGTGCAATGCAGTGGCCGGAGCTCTGGGGTGGAAACAAGACTTACTTTACCTGCCTCACAGTCTAAATTCAAAAACCCGATGAAACCAGGCAGAGGAAATTGCCTTGTGAGAGAAATAAGCACTACCAAATGCTCTTGTCGCTGCTTTTTGGTGGATAAGAATGGATGGCAGGCACATATATTCCTGTGTAACTGTGATGAGAAATTTTTTAGGGTTTGCGTGGTTGCTTTGGAACATCTCTATTCAGCAAGGGGTACAGAGCAATAACAATGTTAGCAACTACCTACCACTGCATGCATGTACCTTTCAGACTTTCTTTGACTGATTCTCATAACAATCTTTTGAACTGGTATGATGATTCCTATTTTACAGAAGAAGAATTTGAATATTCAAAAGGCCAGGCATTGGTTAAAGGTGGCTTGACTCAACCTATCACTTCTCTGCATCTCTGCAGTCAGAGCGGCTGAGCAGGGCCAGCTGAGCTCCTGTCCTGGAGCCTTTTATTTAGGAGAGAACACTTTTATTCAGGAGGGAACACTGGGTGCTGTGGAGGGAGGAGGCTGAGCGCAAGCAGACTGGCAATCCCCTGGGCTAAGGATGCTTTGCCATCGGACTCTTGGGCCAAAAGGCGGCACGAAAGCAGTAACTGAAGTAGATGTGGGGGTAGACAGAAGTCTGCTTATATATGGGCCTTGAGTCATCATTACCATCACATTTGTCTATCACTTTCAACATTTCTCATAGTGTTTTCACTTCACTTAATCAGATTTTAGGGCTGGAAGAGATCTGAAAGACATCCAAATCTACTGATACCTCCCTTATTTAATAGGGGAAAACTTCACAGTTTTGAGAAGTTGAAATGCTTATTCAAGTTTACCCAGGTGTTTAGTGGGCAGGCTATATAAACCCTTACTGGCTTACTCATTTTTTTTTTTTTTTTTTTTTACTAAACCCTTGTGTGACTTGTTTCTCTCTCTTATGTAGATTGCCTTGGTAAGATGGACTTGGAACTCACCTGCCACTAAATTATGTGCCTCAAAATAGACGGCAGAAACTAAGACTAGGAATTTTTTACTTGATGAGCAGACATTACTTCATTGTGTGCTTGAAGCAGAAAAAAAATTAACAGGGCATCTATCCTGTATTACTATAGTTAGGTACTCCAGATTTCCAGTTACCAACTCTTCAAAATTTTTGCCCACTGACAGCTGGGACTAGGGTCTTATACATAGTAGGTCAATCACAAATGTTTGCTGAATGAATAAGAGACGGATATTTAGGCTTTAAAAATTTGCTATATTTGTGCTTGATTTGGACAAGTTTAGGTTGGTTCCTTTTATTATTTCTGGTATTATTATAACATTTTCTCTTCTAAGGTGAATTGCAATATAGAATCCTAATATACTCTTTCCTTCCAAATTTTTGCCATACATATTGAGACCGATAACTTTTTCTATAGAAGCCAACTGAGTTTAACTAAAGATAGGATTTTTTTTCTTTACAATATAAAAAGCTTTTTTATTGGAGGATAATTGCTTTACAGTGTTGTGTTGGTTTCTGCTGTATGCCATGTGAAGCAGACATAACTATATGTATATTTCCTCGCCCTCTTGAGTGTCCCTCCAACTCCCTCCATCCCACCCCGTCTGGGTCATTACAGAGCGCCATGCTGGGCTCCCTGTGTTTTACAGTCGCTTCCCACTAGCTGTCTATTTTACACATAGTAGCATGTATATGGGGCTTCCCTGGTGGTTCAGTGGTAAGGAATCTGCCTGCAGTGCAGGAGACCTGGGTTTGATCCCTGGGTCAGGAAGATCCCCTGGAGGAGGGCATGGCAATCCACTCCAGTTTTCTTCCCTGGGGCATCCCATAGTCAGAGGAGACTGGCAGGCTGCAGTCCATGGGGTCGCAAAGAGCTGGACACGACTGAAATGACTTAGCATGCATGCAGTGTATATGTCAATGCTACTTTCTCTATTCGTCCCACCCTCTCCTTCCCCAGCTGTGTCCACGAGTTCATTTCCTATGTCTGTGTCTCCCCTCCTTCCCTATAGATAGGCTCATCAGTACCTTTTTTCTAGATTCCATATATGTGCTTTAATATACTATATTTGTTTTTCTTCTTTCTGACTTATGATGATAGGATTTTATAAGTGCTGAGAAAGAGCAGGTTTCAAGGAACTTTGAAAGATAATAAGGTCATCTTTTATAATTTTTTCCCTTGTCTATGCAGAGCTGTGGTTAGTTGGTTAGTTCATTTGTTCCTTATCTGAATTTTCACAAAGTTTCACAAAGATTATTATTTCTTAATTATCCCTTCAAGTCACCAATAGTAGAAATTGAGAAATTCCACTTTGAACTGGTTATTGGTCCTATCTTTGATCTGTATTCTGACCTACATAATGGAAAGGTACAGCATTTTCCTCCTAATACTGTGTTCTTCTGGTTGGTGCAAATGTGAGAACCTCTTCATTTTAT